GCTACAATATGAGTACTATGGCGCCTGTTTTAAAGAGCATCCTACACTAGGGATATGGTGGTCTACTACACTCTATGACTAAAGCGAACCACGGTCGCAACCGGCGCCCCTGACACAAGGGGTTCACCAAAGGCAGTTCTACCTCACGGAGAAGGATTACAGTTACACTCTTTTATACAGCATGCTCAGTGGCGTCAAGGCAGTCATGTGGACAAACCCGCGTCCCAACATTTAAGATCGAAGAAATATAGCGCCGGCTTTGTTTATATAAAAAAAAACAACAGCCAGGTTTTAGAAAACAAGGTCACATTCTAAAAATACACCATTTGTAACGCGTGGATGAACTCTAAATAAAATGTGACTTCACTCTGTTTTGAAATAAATCGCGACGGATATGCTACTGTTATTGTAAAGAGTGTCGTTGAATTTCCTATTCTGAGATTATAGCAACGCGAAAGGGGTAAGCTAGTCAATAAATATATACTTTTTTGTTATACTTTGCCTTTCAAAAACGTAGCAGAAATGAAATAGTTGTAGCCCAAGTCAAATGAAGTAGCTTGTGGGTAAAAAGAACCTGTGGTACTAAATAAGTATGTCAGTAAAGTTAAGACACGTTTTAGACCAGTTTTTACAGATCTAGCTACTCCTATTTTATTGTATTTATATTTATTCAGTTTTGTAAAGTTTGTATTAATTTTATACATATATTTTTTCCATATTAACAAAGTCAACGTTTTTTAGTTTTTGCTTTAGGAAGACGGACATATACAGATAGGTGAACATTTATAACAAGCAACCATTCATCCTGAAAAACAGCTTATTGAGCGAGAGATACATTGTGTCGATACATTTATAACTTGTTTGACCTCATTTGAACGAGAGGGGGTTATATTTATCTCGACAACTATGACTGTAAAGCCAATAAGGACAAGAATAGGAAGGTTATACAAAGACACATAGTAATATACAAATCCACAAATTAGTGCTAAGGGTATTATCTTCATAAGCTTTGGTACTAATTAGCATCACAAGTGGTACTATTTCGACCTCTGTGCAGATATATATATATATATAATATATATATATATATATATATATATATATATATATATATATATATATATATATATATATATATATATATATATATATGAAATCTTGTTTTGTGGTTCAATCAAAAGAAAAGAATACATTCGATCTACTTGAAGCTCGAAGGCATAAAATTTCACCAGCAAATGACACCGTTTTTCATAATAGTATCCTCTAATGATCACCTCGCACTTCTTCCGTCTAGCACACCACTGCCGTACTTTACACACTTGCCAAGGGAGGCCACTCTTGTCCCTTTCACTGCTTTCACATTCTTTACATTTTAAACGACCATCGTCACAATATATATATATATATATATATATATATATATATATATATATATATATATATATATATATATATATATATATATATATATATATATATATATACTTGAAAAAGAGAAAAAAAAATAAAGTTGATGATTATGTGGGACGTTTTGATATGAGCCAGCAAGCGATAAATGACAGGCGAGTATGACAGGCAGCATAAGGTGAATATGTCATACGACGGCGTGTCAATGTGGGCAAAGGGTGGAGCAGGTTCGGTGCATTTTTTTTTAATTTGCTTTAATCATTTTATTTTTAAAAAAATGTTTGGATTTGAGTATTGGGTGAAATTGTCAAAATAAGTAGATATAACAACTACCTATTAAAAACAACAAGTCATTTAAAAAATTTTGAAATAAAAAAACAACAAACAATAGATTTGGATTGGAAAACTGCTTGATTTACTTGAGTTAAATAAACCGGGAGTGATCTCCCCTAAACTTTCTCAAATATTCTTATATAACACTACGTTGGATGGCAACACGGAATATAGACATGATTTTTAATCCATTTTTAATTAATTAAACTTTTAAAAATAGAATAGAATATCGTAGAAAAAATAATTGCGCAACAAGTGAACGGCAAACAATATGTATAAAATAGTGCCAAATATTATTAGTAGGCCTACTTTACTCAAAATTGTACAGAAAGCAGAGAATTGAATTAGATCTTTTACTTATGTGTGAAATTTCGTTTACCTATCTGAAACAGTACTAAAGTTATAGGCTTTTGAAAAACTAAACGTAGAATAAGTTTCATTTCCGTTTATCAGAAATCGCTGAAAAGTTGATACATAACTAAAAATTTGATACAATACTTATATGAAATTTCATCCAACCTAGCTGTAACGGTATTCAAGGTATCGTGTTGACAGACACAAACACATAAACGCACAAACATTTACACATACATACACACAGACATTCGGACAAAATTGCAAAACTATGTTTTTCCAACTAAGGGACGTGTAAAACGTCGAGATTTGTGAAAATCTTGATTTCGATTTTTGTGCACGACTGCAATACTTCCTCTATACTTTGTATATGAGAAAGTAGAAAAAGATTTAGACATATCAAATGCAACTTAATTATTTCTTGCATTCAATTCATAATATAAAATAATATAGTTTTGGTTTTTCCTTTTGAGAATTTAAAAAATAAATAGTTTTAGTAGCAGGAAAAATACTTTTTTTTCCTATTAAATATGGAGCCCATTCAATCAACGTATTACAAAGTTCTAAAAAATAAAAAAAAAAGCGTGAGTGATCTCCCCGAAACTTTTTCGAATATTCTTATTTAACACTACGGGGATTTGGTAAGGTTCGAATCCCTTTGGGTTTGACTGATCTGTCTCTACTTGGACTTTATTCTGTACCATTGTCTACCCTTGGCGTTGAAAAATCACTTTCTGTTAATATTGCTATTTTCAGTAACAACGCCTGCTTCCATCCCCTTTCACGTATACTCCGTAAATAATGAAAGTACTGAGGTGTAAAACGACGTAAAACGGACAAAATTTCATGTGATTTTTGTGCACGATTACAATACTTCCTTTATACTCTGTATACGAGAAAGTATATATATATATATATATATATATATATATATATATATATATATATATATATATATATATATATATATATATATATATATATATATATATATATATATATATATATATATATATATATATATATATATATATATATATATACAGAGGCGTAGCGACCCTTCCCGGCGCCCGGGGCGAACTTTCAATTTGGCGCCCCCCCCCCCCCGCTTATATATATATATATATATATATATATATATATATATATATATATATATATATATATATATATGTGTGTGTGTGTGTGTGTGTATAATTATGTGTGTGTGATAGTGTGTTTATATATAAGCTTGTGTGTGGGTAAGAGTGTATTTGTGTGTGTAAGCGTGTGTGTAAGCGTGTATGCTACAGTCCGGACAAGGTTTAATAATTACATTGTATGATTTTCATTCCTTAAAACTTTACGACAATTTAATTCCCATTAAGATGCGTTTAACTTTTTTTGCGAAAGATTAGTAATGTCAGTAAAAAAAAAATAAGCCTGATCTGTGTTAGAGGGTAGTTTGTAGCTAACGCTAATATGTTTAGACCAGCCTTTTATGTTCTAGTTTTGAACGATCTCTGTTGTGATATGGTACATATTGGATTCGAAGTTTGTTAGAGTAAGGACACACAAGTGACATACAAGAAGAAGTTATCAGAAATATTTATTGTTCACATTGGAATACGACATGGGTATTTCGTTGATTGGTTGATGGTATGACAAAACAAGCTAGAGAAAACAAACTGGAATCCAACGGATGTTAACAGCTCGTAGTCTTGGATTTCGCAGATTTGCCCTGCCTTCTCGCACACAGTTTCTTCCAGGCATCTTTTCGGGGGGGCGAAGCCCCCCGGAAAAATTTTTACGCCCCCCCGAACGAAATGAAATTTATATAATTTATATATAGAAAATATATACTTTTAACAGTGTCCGCCCCCCCCCCCGAAGAAAGTTTACCGCCTCCCCCCTCCCCCCGAAGATTTCAAGTGCCCCCCCGGAGAAAAAAGTCTGGAAGAAACACTGATCAAAAGTATCTGATCTCTCACGTTGAAGTTGAGAGAATCGTAAGAATCTTACAAAGAACTAGTCGCGTCTTTTTTTTTAACAAAACTGGCTATTGAAATTGTACATTACGCGTTAATACACTTGGTTTCTTTACTAAGTGTTAAGAGAGTTATCTACTCACCAATCCAGTACAAATACTTGCGATTTTTGTTAGCGAAAAAAGCGCCCCCCACCCCCACACACACTCAACACAACCATCTTGGACAAAGTTTGTAGAGCGGTTTTTAACGTAACTAACTTTTTTTTAAAAAATGTTACACAATTATACAATGCACAGTACAATTCGTTTCTTTCTGAGAGCTAAAGGTTGTTTACTCAGAATCCTGTGTAATTTTGCTATTTTATTTAGCCTAAAAGCGCCCCCCTGCACCATCTTGATAAAAGTCACTAACGTATTTTACAGTTCAACAATCGTACAATACGTTTTAATACAATTGGTTTCTTTTAATAGTGGTAACGTTTATCGACTCAACAATCTAGTGTAAATTCTTCCGTTTTAAGTCTCGAAAAAGCGCCCCCCCCCCCCCATCTAGGAAAAGCTTCAAAGCGGTTTTGCCGGTCACTGTTTCTTAAGAGTATATGTTTTACATTAAGAAATCAAGATAGAAAACAGTTAAATCAGTATGTAAATGCGTGTAGCCATTATATTTCTTAACTTAGACAGTTTATAATTCAAAACCGCAGCATAAAATCAGCTTTAAAATTTTTTTTCCCACCCCTTTTGGCGCCCCCATAGGGTCGGCGCCCGGGGCGGCCGCCCCCCCCGCCCCCCCCCCCTAGCTACGCCTCTGTATATATATATATATATATATATATATATATATATATATGAAAACAACAAAAAAACAACTACATAAATTGTAAAAAAAATTCTAATATTTACACATTGTTGAAAGAAGAATTATTGTTTAATAGAAATGGAGCTTAATTCAAAACCAAAGTCTGAGAAAGACAGTCTTCATTTCCCCATTACGAACGGCGATGTTAGAGGAGATACCGAACACAACAATGGGATCAATGGAAACAAATATCAAGTAGTCTCTATTGACAACTCCAGTTTTTTATGTGAACTGAGCCAAACTGATATTAAAGACGACGGGAAGACCCGCCATATCTGGCCACGAAAGATCGAGTATGTGTTGACGACGATTGGCTTCTGTGTTGGGATGAGCAATGTGCTGCGTTTTCCGTACGTTTGTATGAGAAACGGTGGAGGTGAGTAAACATTAGGGTTGTGGTTTAGATTAATGTAGGGTAAGTGTTTGAGCTTTAAATGTTTTAGATGATAATACAGTATAGTAACAGGACAAGACGCCTGTTATACATAAATTTTTTTAATATTCCTTCGTTATTTCGGGATGTTAATTTGAAAATAAAACCCAAAGGCTGTGTTATATCTGTGGGTCGTAAAGAATCTGCTTTAATCATGAAAGCGTGTTTATATAAATTATGCTGCTACACCATATGTACTATACATGTATGTCCATTCCTCCGTGTCACATATTTTTTATTCCCCAGGTGCTTTCCTCATCCCCTACATCCTGTGTCTGACTGTATGTGGGATCCCTCGCTTCTTCCTGGAGGTCAGTCTCGGTCAGTTCATGTCCAGGGGACCTCTTCATGTCTGGAGTATTTGCCCTTTGTTTAACGGTAGGTGTAAAAACAAACTTGCACAGTAAAAATATTCTAGAAGTTTTTTCTTCATTAAGTAGATATGCTGAATTTTATTGTAACTGACTCTTATTTTAAAAAGATTCACTGTTCGTTTATTTTAGATAAACGCTCTAACCAGTTCCCCATCATTACCCATAGACTCCCCAACCTCTCGTCTAATTCGCCCAACCCTCTCCTACCACACCTCCCAACCCTCTTGTACCATTCCTCCCAAATCCCAACCCTCTCGTACCATTCCTCCCAAATCCCAACCCTAACGTACCATTCCTCCCAAATCCCAACCCTCTCGTACCATTCCTCCCAAATCCCAACCCTCTCGTACCATTCCTCCCATATCCCAACCCTCTCGTACCATTCCTCCCAAATCCCAACCCTCTCGTACCATTCCTCCCAAATCCCAACCCTCTCGTACCATTCCTCCCAAATCCCAACCCTCTCGTACCATTCCTCCCAAATCCCAACCCTCTCGTACCATTCCTCCCATATCCCAACCCTCTCGTACCATTCCTCCCAAATCCCAACCCTCTCGTACCATTCCTCCCAAATCCCAACCCTCTCGTACCATTCCTCTCAAATCCTAACACTCTCGTACCATTCCTCCCAAATCCCAACCCTCTCGTACCATTCCTCCCAAATCCCAACCCTCTCGTACCATTCCTCTCAAATCCTAACACTCTCGTACCATTCCTCCCAAATCCCAACCCTCTCGTACCATTCCTCCCAAATCCCAACCCTCTCGTACCATTCCTCCCAAATCCCAACCCTCTTGTACCACTCCTCCCAACCCCAGACTATCAAGCGCCTCCCAACGTCAGTGCTAAGCATCCACCCTATCCCAATTTACTAACACCTCATCCTCGTGAGTTTCAACTACCTGTACCAACGCACTTATTGAACGCCCCACCCCAACGCCCCACCCTAATTCCCTAACCTAACGTCACCATAACGCTCCACTGTTCTACACCACCCAGGTATCGGCATCTCTATGAACATCCTCTCCTTCCTGAGCTCCTGGTACTTCTGTATGATCTTCGCCTACATCCTCATCTACCTCGTCAACTCCATGAAGTCGCCCCTGCCCTGGACCTTGTGTGGTCAGGCCTGGAACACGCCCCTGTGTGTACCCCCGGGCCAGCGAGGCGTCGAGTTACTCAATGGGTCGCGGGCAGCTGATTGGGTCAACATGACCCAAGTCATGAACGTGACGGTGAACGTTTCCAGAAACGCAAACTCTGCCAGTGCTGAATTTTGGCGGTAGGTTCTGGTTTCATGTGAATTTTGGCGGTAGTTTCTGGTTTCATGTGAATTTTGGCGGTAGGTTTTGGTTTGATGTGAATTTTGGCGGTAGGTTTGGTTTTATGTGAATTATGGTGGTAGGTTTTGGCTTCATGTGAATTTTTGCGGTAGGTTTTGGTTTTATGTGAATTATGGTGGTAGGTTTTGGCTTCATGTGAATTTTTGCGGTAGGTTTTGGCTTCATGTGAATTTTGGCGGTAGGTTCTGGTTTGATGTGAATTTTGTCGGCAGGTTTTGGGTTTATGTAAATTATGGCGGTAGCTTCTGTGTTTTGTTGAGAGACAGCAATTTTTAGCACTAAAATCATAATATCTCAAACATGGATTTAAAAATCCAGGCTAGATTGAACACTACTTTTATAGATCTTATTAGTTTTCTTTTATTTATTTTTTTCCATTGCATTTAAAGCTTGTTGCTATAAATATTTTTAATATTCGTTCTGCTTTCTACTTTTTAGTGATTTCTAGTTTATGAAATCGACACGACTAAAAAGTATTTGCTTTAAAACACTATCAATAACTCAGGATTTCTAAAAGACGATTACCACAATTTACAAGCTGATAATGTGAATGGTAGTTTTTTAATCTTGCTGCCTCTCTTATTTTCAAATCGTTTAAATTTTTTTATTATCTGCCCCTATTAGCCTTCACTAGATCGACTGGCTCTGCGATTGTAAACATTCCCGTGAATCACAGCTCACCAGACTGTTAGAGTGATCGCATCTAGCTAGTTGTCTCCCCTTCTGGTATTAAAAATTGTAATCTATCGAGTGATTTACTTTTGTTATCTTCCCGTGGTTTTGAAACTGTTAAAATAATTTTTAATGACTAAATTAAAATCTAATTAAATAAAATAAATTGATAGACTTGTATTGTCATCGAAATGGAACGTGTCGGGAAAGTTTGGACGAAATCGCTGCATTAGAAGTGGCTAAAAAAATGAGTTACAAGATTTACAACAAATCCACAAAAACAGACGTAGCGACATAAACAAAAGCTTGTAATAATGAAAGATGTTTTAAGTAAAATACATTTACAGCCTAATTTCATGATGATGTGAATATTAACACCATATAAAATCTCACCTCACCCCCCCCCCCCACCCTTGTTCAACAACCAAGAATTTATCGTTCATCATTATCATTTCCATTCACTCCTGCTGGAATATTTATGGAACTTTAGGTCTCTAGAATGTTCTGTCCCCAGCCATATTTTCAAAAGGGCTCAACATGTGACATCTGTTCCGTCCACCTAAAGGGCAACACATTTGGTACGGCCTGGTGACGCTACCAATGGACGCAGCATGCACCCTAAACACCCTCCTCTTCAGAGGCATAGCGAGGGCGGGGCGGAGATTGCGGACCGCACCGGGTGACACCATTTAGGGGGTTGACACCAATGCACAAAAATGCGAAATGCATTGGAGAAAATATTCTTTTGCCAGTACCATTAATGATTAATTAAATAGACTTTTAAGTACAAATCGACAATTATTACAATTATTACTAAATCCAACTGTATTATTAACAGAATATATACAAACATCGTTACTATATATATATATATATATATATATATATATATATATATATATATATATATATATATATATATATATATATATATATATATATATATATATATATATATAGTAACGATGTTTGTATATATATATATATATATATATATATATATATATATATATATATATATATATATATATATATATATATATATATATGTATATATATATATATATATAGTAACGATGTTTGTACCGGGTGACACCGATCTAAGCGATGCCACTGCTCCTTTTAACCCCTTTCCCGACGCAACTTGGCAGATTTAAAAGTACAGGTTGATGTTACACGATGAACATGTATGGGTCACTAAACTTTATGTTTAACTTGAAAAGCTAAATCGCTGCTTACATACAAGTTTTATTGAAAAAAAAGGTGACTTGGTAAATGTTGATATGAAATATAGAGTATGGGTAGTGGCTGGATGGTTGAAAAGGGAAAGATTGTCAATTGTTTTTAACAGTAAAAAAAAGCCAGTCTTATATCGCAACTGACCTTAATTGCTTGGAAAAGTAATCTGTTTGTCCCTTTGTTTATATGAATAATCCATAAGGAGGAAAACATGGTTGAAAAGTTTACGTCCACCATGAACATTTTCTTTCGACTTTAGCTTTGCTTCGATTTTAGAAGACATTTTGACAGATCTCAAAACTGTTTCAGTAGCTTACGTTGACTTATTTAATGTAGTAAGATGTGTTGTCATTCCCCAGCAACAATGTGCTAGAGTTGTCTTCCGGTTTAGAAAACTTGGATGGTCTCCCTTGGCACACGACTGTGGCTCTACTAGTCTCGACCAGTTTAACGTTCGCTTGCATAATCAAGGGCATTCACTCAGTTGGAAAGGTAACTTTTGTTAAATCGGAAGCAAAAAATCAATTACTGATACTTTAAATAATTATCATTAAAACGTTTTTAAAAACCCACGTTTTCTGATTGAACTAAAAAGTAGAAAATAAATGCTATACATCACAATAATGCAAGCGATCACTCTACTATAAGCGATCGCAAACTGCGTGCGCATTATGACAAAAAATGAAAAACGTGGGGCGCCGAAGTAAAAGTTTTTTTATCGGTCATTGTTAATATAAGATGTAAAAGTTATATTACTATTGATTAGATAATACAATTGAGTTTTATTAGGGAGCTTGTAGAGAGTCAACAGTATTAAAAACTGTAAGAAAATCACGGCGCCCCACGTTTTTCATTTTTTGTCATAATGCGCACGCAGTTTGCAATCGCTTATAGTAGAGTTATCGCTTGCATTATTGTGATGTATAGCATTTATTTTCTACTTTTTAGTTCAATCAGAAAACGTGGGTTTTTAAAAACTTTTTTAATGATAATTATTTTCTACTTTTTAGTCTTTGTATGTTTGTTTGCATTCAAATCTTGCTATCGATTTTATCTTCTCGCATTCAACATTTTTTGTGTAAACGAAGACAACTCGTAAAAAACACGTGCCTTTTCCAATTACTAGGTTATGTCCCTTTTTGGTACAAATCAATAGGAGTCTAAAATGATCAATAATTTTTTTCCGTGGATCAATTTAGTAATAATAATAATTGAATTTTGTATTGTCATCGGAAACAAAGCTTCCCCGAATATTTCAGCGCGCTAGCTAACTGGGAAGAGCCCGAAATTTCGATCGCAAGATTTGATTGGAAAAACAAACAAACAAATAAACAAACAATAAATTTAAACTATAACAAAATAATTATTTTAAAAAGCTTGCTAAATTATGTAAACGATCTTATAAAAGAAAGTTTATTTTTAAGGCCAGCTGACCGAGTGATCACTAGCAGTTAATATTTTTTTACCTCCGCTTTTATTATTGAATTCAATAGTTTAAAATGAATTGACTAACCTAATGTTTAATTAGTTTAAAAATATTATCTTGCGTTGTATCCAGAGACAAATATATGTTGTAAGTTAAAACAAAATCGCTGCTTTAGAAGTGGGTCTAAATTACGCTACGAAATTTGCCACATCCCACAAACACACAAAATATACAAACAGACACTGTGAAATAAATAAAATCTTAAAAGGGTAGTATATTATAGAGCAAAAACCTGTTTAACTACTCAAAAATCCTTTATTTGATAATACTTTTAAATTATACCTCTAAGATTAAGCGAAGTCTGGACACCAGACTCGATTTTTAAAGTTACTTCAACAAACTCTAATTTATTTAAACAAAACAAATGTTTGGATTTTAAGTATTTAAAACCGGTTTCTAGCCCATAAATAGAAGTTCTATTCGTGGAGCTAAATTTATAGCGATCAGTTAACATGTAGCCAATGGTGAAAAAAAAAAGCCTGCGTTTTCATAATAGCAACATACTTGACATAGGTCTATGAAAGAGGTCAAGGGGTACACACATTGGGATCTCTTCAACCTTGGGGAAGTGGGCGGGTGGGGTCAGTCATCGGATGGGAGTGGGGGACCCGGTAGTCGAAAATAAGTTGGGAATGTGTTTGACTGGGGTCTCGAGTGAACACACTGACGCACCGCTTTAGTGCAGTCAAGCGTATCACAAAACATAAAACACAACCATAACCTAAAAGATCACAGCACGCCGTGTCACTTTAACAAATACAGTAATTAGGTGTGGGGTGGGGGGCGGATGTGGGGGCGACGACGACCAAGGTTTTAATAGGGAAGTGGTATCAAACCAACAATTGGGAGGAGATAGGATGGTCAAGGATGGGGAGATGTGATCTAGTCAACGATTGGGTGGGGGGGGGGGGGGGGGCAAGATAAAAAGTGGGGAGGTGAAGCAGGGATCAAGCTTTCAATGGGGAGATGGGATCAAGCTAACAGCGGGGGGGGGGGGGGAATCAGGCCAACAGTGTGGAGGCTAGATCAACCTTTCACATGTTATTTCAACAGAAAAAGATATTCAACGTTTTATTATGATTTAAAATATTCTATAACTAAAGCTGAGTTGTGTTGTTACCTTACAGGTAGTTTATATCACGGCCCTACTGCCGTACCTGCTGCTGACTGTACTCATCATCAAAGGCGCTACCTTACCTGGTGCTGTGGACGGGGTTTTGTTCTATGTGTACCCAGACTTCAGGTAGGTGGCGCTGTCGTGTATTAATGTATATAAATATATATATGTGTGTATATGCGTATATACGATTACATGTGTGTGTGTGTGCGTGCGTGTATTACGTCAAACCCGTAAGTTTGGCAATTTTTTAATTAGCCGGCCATTTCGGGAACTTGCTAAGGCATGTGGCCAATGTTCGATGTGCTGGAAACTGCCTGTGTACTTTATGTTTTAGTTCTGATATTTTAGTTTTTAACACGAGCACACGCAGCATTAAAAACTAAATCTGATCCTGTGTGCTAGTACATGTAACCTGACCGCGTCATTGATTTACCTGCAGCAAACTGCTGGTAGTACAGACATGGCTAGAGGCTTGCATCCAGGTGTTTTACTCGCTGGGTCCAGCCTATGGGGGACTCTTCACCATGGCCAGTTACAACAAGTTCCAGAACAATTGTATGAGGTGGGTCGTTACATACAAGTTCCAGAACAATTGTATGAGGTGGGTCGTTAGATACAAGTTCAAGAACAATTGTATGAGGTGGGTCGTTACATACAAGTTCAAGAACAATTGTATGAGGTGGGTCATTATATACAAGTTCCAGAACAATTGTATGAGGTAGGTCTTTATATACAAGTTCCAGAACAATTGTATGAGGTGGGTCGTTAGATACAAGTTCCAGAACAATTGTATGAGGTGGGCCGTTAGATACAAGTTCCAGAATAGTTGTTTGAGGCGGGTCTTTTGAACGACTATGTGAGGTGCTTTCTGAACTACAGACTGTGTTAGTTGAGTTAGTTAGTTCCGTGAGTTGGCGCCTTAATTGCAAGAAGTTCCAAAATCAACTTTTGTGTCAATTATTGACATCCTGTTATGACCTACTTTTTTAACCTAGTCATAGTTGTGTAGGTTCCATCATTAACTCGGTTTTAGATTAATATACGTACTTTTTATTACAAGCTTTTATTTAACTCACTTCCTCTGTCGACAGTCTGTCGACATTCTGTCGACAGTCTGTCTAGATGGAAACGCAGGAGTGAAAATTCGGAAACTTCTACTTGACCGATACGATTCACACTTGGCACGTGGGTCAAGACATGAAGACAATGCAATCTGAAACTAAATTTGACTTAATTGGATGCTTAATTAATTTTTTATGAATTAATTAAAATTTGGACCGAATTAGTAGGCATGTCTAGCCAACCACACCACACGCGTCATCACCTTCAATAGCTGCGCCATCACGTAATGGCTGCGTTCAAAAACCATTGCGCGACTACTGAACGTGATGTTCAGTAGGCGCGCAATGGTTTTTAGTCATGTAACTCTATTGTAAATAAAACATGTAAAGTACTGAATTTTTTTTTTATAAAAAAACGTTTTAATAACAAGCTTTTATGTAATGATGCACTAAAAAGTAGAAAATAAATTATAGACTACTATTTAAATAACTATAAAGAAAAGCGTGGGTGTCTTCCTTAACATTAGTAAAGGTATCCAATAGATACTAAAGTGACCCACGCTTTTCTTTATAGTTATTTAAATAGTAGTCTATAATTTATTTTCTACTTTTTAGTGCATCATTACATAAAAGCTTGTTATTAAAACGTTTTTTATGAATTTTTTTTTATTGTATTGTTAATAATTTCATGTAAAAATTAATTCTGTAAAGTAAAAAAAAGGCAGACGTCTTATATCCTCGGAGATCCCCCATAAACTTTCGCGTATATTCTTACATAACACCAGCGTGTCCGCCTTTTCGCGGTGTTAAAAAATCCCAGGATTGACCTGTGATAGTACTCTGCTAGGGCGCGATCAGACGCGTCTAATTCAGTTTAGTGAACGACTATAATACTACTTCTTATCCATGTTCTATCACAATTTTTAAAACGAACGCATGCGTCATAGCGCTACCGGGATTATTCATATTCTTATTCATAGTCTAAGGCAGTATTTAAAATAAACATAGGCTCCATAGCGCACATGGGATAGGCCGGGGTGCTAAGTTGCACCCTACCGGGGTGCCGCTCGTGCGAAATAGTATTTTTTTCGTAGTAGCCTCTCCAGGAGCATTATCAACAACTTCCCAAAGTTTCATGGAAATCAGATGAAAGGTGTAGCAATGTATAAAAAGACAAATAAAATCTGGCGAAATATACTAGGACGGTTTCATCAATGCTTTACCAATCCTATATTCTTAGACGCTGATTTTGTTTTCTAAAACTGAGTTATTTAAATGTAAACATTGCATGCGCTTGGATCTTATTTATCGGGACGGGTTTATTACACTACCGCCCAAAAAGCCAGGGGCGCCAATTCCGTATATGATACAGTGGGGAGGTGTAAAACGGCGAAAACTGTCAAAATTTCATTTCATTTATTTTTTGTGTAAGGTTACAAAACTTTCTCTATACAAGAAAAAAAAAGAAAAACCAATGAAAATCATGTAACGCTACTTGAAGGAAGTTACAATATTTTATATTTTTATCACCACAGAGACGCCATTGTGCTGTGTTTTGTCTGCGAAGGGACAAGTGTTTTCGCCGGTTTCGCCATCTTTCTCGTCCTTGGTCACATGGCCTACAACCTCCAGCTGCCATTGGCTGACTTTTCTCAGTCAGGTAAACAGCTCCAAATAAAGCGGACAAAGTCAAGATACCATTAGCTTTACTCTGTCAGAAGAAAAAAAAACCATTTTATAACCTTCAGATAGTTGGCCTTTCAAAGAACAACAACAACAACAAATGGAAACATGAAAATTGGTGTAATAATTTTATAAATTTGAGACCGCTCATCCTGCCCATATTTTTTAAATTTTTTGGCTCGCAACAACCCCCCCCCCCCCTTCTTCCCTGTCGTTCCTCTTTACTTAAAAATAAAATCCTCTCCAGGTGCGGGGCTGGCCTTCGTTGTCTACCCAGAGGCCATCTCCTACCTCCCCCTCCCCCAACTGTGGGGGGTGTTGTTTTTCTTCATGCTGGTCACTATAGCTTTGGATTCCCAGGTAACTCACGTGATGTGGTTTTGTCATTGTGTTGGTCTCACTTTAATCGAACACTGACTAAAGTCTCACATTTAGCCCTCACTGACTAAAGTCTCACCTTTAGCCTTCAATGACTAAAGTTTCACGTTAAGCCCTCACTGACTAAATTCTCACGTACGGTTAAGACATCACTGACTAAAGTCTCACCTTAAGCTCTCACAGACTAAAGTCTCAAATTAAGCTCTCACTGACTAAAGTCTCAAATTAAGCTCTCACTGACTAAAGTCTCACCTTAAACCCTCACTATCTAAAGTCTCACCTTAAGCCTCCACTGACTAAAAAATCTCACTCTACCACCCCTAGTTCACCTTAGCTGAGACCGTCCTGACGACCTTACAAGACATTTGGCCAAGATTCGTCAAGCGGTACAACATCTACATCAAATTAACTTACGGCGTCACGTTTTTCCTCGTCTCGTTGCCATTAGCAACCAGGGTAAGTCGTTGTGTGAAATCACTCATAAACTTTTCTGATAATTGTAAATTACTTATTTCTTAGTTTTGTCCTTGAAAATTTCTTAATAATGTCCAATGAAATATAAGGAGTTATTCTTGTTTTTTTTTAAACAAACCTCGGTTTTGATTTGATGTAGTTGTTTAATAAATCTATTTAAAATCGGAAATGATAAATTTGTGTGAATCAATAACAAAAACACCAATGAAAGACGGCGTACGTTACTAGAACCATTAACTGAAGACGAAGGATAGGTTTTTTTTTCATTGGCCAGTGCGATATAGGTTTGAGCTAGCTAGGGGGTGGCAAATATATTTGTATATATGGTTTATATATATATATATATATATATATATATATATATATATATATATATATATATATATATATATATATATATATATATATATATATATATATATATATATATATATATATATATATATATATATGGACACATTTTTGAACAAGCCCCTGGACCAAATCATGCCTACTTTACTGCCTGATATAATCAGTCCGTCCGCCGCAAACTATATTTCGTGACGTACCCAAACAGAGCTAGGTGGACCCATGGACGTTCTACTGAAGCGAACCCGGGATTCGAACATGAAAGTTTTGGCTTATCTTTCGTATGTTCTATCATCCGACCAGAATGGAATGGATGTGTTCAAACACGCAGAATAAACCGCCACTATTTGTATGGTTTAGTGTGTTATGTACCTCTGTTAACTCATAGGACAAACCGCCACTTTTTGCACCTCTTCTAGGGTGGGATGTATCTATGTTAGCTTACAGATCAAATTGACACTTTTTTGTACCTGTTCTAGTGTAGGGTGTACCTAAGCTTAAAGATAAAATTGCTACTATTTGTGCCTGTTCTAGGGTGGGATGTACCTGTTCCAGCTGATAGACTGGTACTTCGCTGCCTTTGCTATCCTCCTCAACGCTTTTCTGGAATGTGTGGTAGTGGCGTGGATATACGGTACTCTTGCCAATTATTATAGTTTGACTCACATTTCCATTTTGCAACGCACGATGAAAGAGTTAACACAATGTTAATAATTTCTTATGTGTGGTTATAAAGACAATCTCTTAACAACTAATTTAAAAACAGGTAAAAAATTAAATATTCTATTTTGTCCAAACAGGCGCAGAACGTTTCCTGGATGATCTGAACTTCATGTTTGGCAGGAGACCGCCATATTTGTTTTCCTTGTTGTGGAGATTCATCGTGCCTGCTGTTCTCATTGTAGGTCTAGGTGGTTTTTTAGCCTCTGTCCGTGTGGTTTCTTGGTCACTGACCATGTTGTTTCTTGGTCACTGCCCATGTGGTTTCTTGGTCACTGCCCATGTGGTTTCTTGGTCACTGCCCATGTGGTTTCTTGGTCACTGCCCATGTGGTTTCTTGGTCACTGCCCATGTGGTTTCTTGGCCATTGCCAATGTGATTTCTTGGCCACTGCCCATGTTGTTTCTTGGCCACTGCCCATGTGGTTTCTTGGCTATTGCCCATGTGGTTTATTGGCCACTGCCCATGTTGTTTCTTGGCCACTGCCCATGTGGTTTCTTGGCCATTGCCCATGTGATTTCTTGGCCTCTGCCAATGTGGTTTCTTAGCCATTGGCCATGTGGTTTCTTGGCCACTGCCCATGTGGTTTCTTGGCCATTGCCCATGTGGTTTCTTGGCCATTGCCCATGTGGTTTCTTGGCCTCTGCCAATGTGGTTTCTTGGCCATTGCCCATGTGGTTTCTTGGCCATTGCCCATGTGGTTTCTTGGCCTCTGCCAATGTGGTTTCTTAGCCACTGCCCATGTGGTTTCTTAGCCATTGCCCATGTGGTTTCTTGGCCATTGCCCATGTGGTTTCTTTGCCACTGTCCATGTTGTTTCTTGGCCAATGCCCATGTGGTTTCTTACCCACTGTCAGTGTGGTTTTTTTAAGACTATGATCATCTGTTTATGCAATGTTGCTACCTTTAGGGTAAAATTTACTATATAGCATTTAGGCAATATATGCCACGAGCCGAACCTCCGTGATAGCATTTATGAGTTCTAGAACTAGTCCTCACTAGATAGTTTATGCTATTGATATCCTAAGACGACAGTAAAATCAACAATCCGTGTCGCTATCAACCCTCCGTGTTGCTACCAATGTTTGCCCCTCCGTGTTGCTACCAATGTTTGCCCCTCCGTGTTGCTGTATGCCCCTCCGTGTTGCTACCAATGTTTGCCCCTCCGTGTTGCTACCAATGTTTGCCCCTCCGTGTTGCTACCAATGTTTGCCCCTCCGTGTTGCTATCAACCCTCCGTGTTGTTATCAATGTTTGCCCCTCCGTGTTGCTATCAATGTTTGCCCCTCCGTGTTGCTACCAATGTTTGCCTCTCCGTGTTGCTATTAATGTTTGCCTTTCCGTGTTGCTATCAATGTTTGCCCCTCCGTGTTGCTACCAATGTTTGCCCCTCCGTGTTGCTATCAATGTTTGCCCCTCCGTGTTGCTACCAATGTTTGCCCCTCCGTGTTGCTATCAACCCTCCGTGTTGTTATCAATGTTTGCCCCTCCGTGTTGCTATCAATGTTTGCCCCTCCGTGTTGCTACCAATGTTTGCCTCTCCGTGTTGCTATTAATGTTTGCCTTTCCGTGTTGCTATCAATGTTTGCCCCTCCGTGTTGCTACCAATGTTTGCCCCTCCGTGTTGCTACCAATGTTTGCCCCTCCGTCAGATTATCCTGGCTACCACACTGGCTACCTACCAGCCCCCCGTCTATGAGGGCTACGTGTATGGAGAGGGCGCCAAGACTTTCGGCTGGTTAATCGCCAGTGTACCCTTCCTGCCAATACCTGTGTATATCGTTTACAAGCTGGTCATTACTAGAGGCACTTTCATGGAGGTAGGTTTAGTCACTATTGGAGATAGGTTTAGTCATTGTTCGAGGTAGGTTTATGGCTTAGTCATGGGTGGAGGTAGGTTTTGTCACTGTTGGTGGTAGGTTGGTTCATTGTTGGAGGTAGGTTTAGTCATTGTTGTAGGTAGGTTTAGTCATTGTTGGAGGTAGGTTTAGTCATTGTTAGGGGTAGGTTTAGTCATAGCTGGAGGTAGGTTTAGCCATTTTTGGAGGTAGGTTTAGTAATTGTTAGATGTAGGTTTAGTCATTGTTGGAGGTAGGTTTAGTCATTTCATTGTTGTAGATAGGTTTAGTCAATGTTGGGGGTAGGTTGGGTCATTGTTGGAAGTAGGTTTAGGGTTTAGTCATTTATGGAGGTAGGTTTAGGGTTTAGTCATAGGTGGAGGTAGGTTTAGTCATTGTTAGAGGCAGGTTTAGTCATTGCTTAAGGTAGGTTTAGTCATTGTTGAAGGTAGGCTTAGTCATTGTTTTAAGTAGGTGGGGTCATTGTTGGTGGTTGGTATTATCATGGTAACTGATGTGTTTAGTCATTGTTGCAGGTAAGTTGAGTGATTGTTGAAGCTAGGTTACATTTCTTTGATGGATGTAATTTGGGTGACCGATGATCGATTGTATTTAGTCGTATAGGTTCTGGATCTTTCTTAGATTTCGTTATGGTCATGGCGGTAGTTTCGGGTTTCTTGTAGGCTCGGGGTCTTCCATTTAGTCTATTTATATAATGGTGTTTGATGGTAGGTTGGCTACTTTATTTGGGGGTAGGTTGGACCTATATTGGGTGGCGTAGGTTGGGGAGTTAGGTAGCAGACCGCGCGTTTTGACATTTTTAGTAGTAGGTTTAGCACTTATATTGCTGTAGTTTATTGTGCTGAAAGCCATGGGAAAGTCAGACTTGTTGAGATGTGTTGTGCTTAACGTTTTTGCTTTTTAAGTCTAAAATTTGCCCAACTGATAAGTTGTGCGGTATAGGTTCAGATTGTTAACAAATCCTGATTTCCTTTCTTAACAAATCCCAACTTTCCCTTTTATTATCTCCCTTACAGCGCTTAAAGAAGTCTTGCACACCAGACCAAGATTGGGCGCCCAACGACCCGGCGATACGCAAGAAATATCTCGCCCAAACTAAGGAGACAGAATTGTGTACTTTCAGATTACCTTTCAGACGTGGGTAACCTTGTATGTTAGTACTAGTTTTTGTTAAATTTAGTTGTATGTTAGTACTAGATTTTATTAGATTTAGTTTAACCTGCTGTATGATTTTTTCCAATTTTTGTTATAAAATGCACCAATTTGATAATACTAGTTTATCCATATCTCTATTTCTAACATGCTTTTTTACGCTTGTTATATTTTAAGTTAAAAATATTACACATTTCTTTCAACAATATGATACTCATAAATGATGTGCAGTATCCCCTCTGTTAAAATATTCCCCTTGTATTAGGATATTAGAAACATGTGTTAAGTTTAATTAAAACTTGTCCTTCATGTCCTATAACTTGAAATCACTGCAGTGGAAAATGTTTTTAATTTTTGTTTTTTAAGCGTTATTTTAAAGGTTGAGCCGGGCGTCACATGTGAGGTGGCAATACAATTAGGCTTGAGAAAACACCACTTTGTCGTTTATAATAATTTTACGCACCTCAAAAGGAGTGTAAACTAGCAGTATTTCAGTAGGAATTAAATATTTCTATGTTAACATAATTTGTGTTTACCTTTAAAAAAATAAGTTCGAGAGCTTCATGACTTACAGACATTTTTAATTTTATCGGCGAAAACCAAAGGTCTAAACTAAAAAAAAAAACTCGTTTTCATTGAAATGTTTATCCGGTGTTTAAATAAATGCGAATCTTAAAATCAAGCTTCAGAGAATCGTTGAGGCCTTATTTCATTACTCTATTGTTGACTATAGCAAGGATTTAAATTTGTCGTTACTGTAGTCAACAGGTAAAAAAATATGTTTTTACTGCTACGGTTTACAAACTTCCTGTCAACATCTGCTAGAGACGGACAGAAAAAACAATTGTTCGTTAGCATAACTAAAGTACACACAGTTTTATACAGTGAATCGTTTCATAACTAAACAATACACAGTTTTATACAGTGAATCGTTTCATAACTAAACAATACACAGTTTTATATAAACTGACACCTACCAAAACACAACCATACACTGTTATTTACAATGACACCGCCCGTAACAAAACAATACAGTAAAACCTCCCATGCCAAAACTATTCACACTTTCCTACACAATGACCCATCAATGACAAGACTATTGACATCAAGTAGATTTCTTTTGTTTTTAATTACCTTTCTCTAACTAATTGGTTATACAGAGTTGGTGGGCGACAGTTCATGGTGAAGGGGAGATAATAAACAAAACAAAACCCGTCTTAATGTTTACATTTTTCTGGGTGCATGTATCCATGTGTGTGTGTGTGCGTGTTAATGCTCGTGCATTTTTTTATGAATCATTTGATTGGTTATGTACATGGCTTTTAATTGTGTAAATTATTGGTTATTTATTAATATATATTCTATATATATAATAATATAAATATTATATATTAATGAAAAAGAACTGCTAGATTAAATATATTACGTTTTTAAGTGATATATAAATTATAATCTTGATATCACAGTTTGCAGGTAATTAAGAAAGCTATTGTACCCCTGCTCAAAGGTAGTTTACAGAAAGATAAAGGGGCATAACTAAGTAAATTATGTTCAACCAGAAACCTTACATGTTTTACTGACCGAGATATTTATATTAAAACTATTGTTAGAGGGTTAATTATCATATTTAACCACCGATCTACATAATTTAAAAAGCATGTAATTTGCAAGGGGCGTTAATTAACACGCTCGCACAGGAAGAAGAACTCAGTGACCGCGCTTTGACATGCGGTGGACACCATCTGGGTGACGCCCCCTGCGGTCTTGAGGGCGATGCAATCACTGCTTAGACTGGCCATGGCGGGCTCGCCAGCTGCCCAGGCGAAGAAGCTGACCTGAATGGGACGACATAGGAGGTTAGCCGGAGACATTGGAGAGTTGGGATACATACAAGTTGAAAGCTAGTTAATGACGATTCAAACACGACTAAACCACGACTAAAACACAAGTAAACCACGATTAAACCACGACTAAATCTCAAATGATCAACTTTACATAACGACTAACTAATTAATGACTGGATGATCTAACCAACCACGGCAACCTTGAGAAACCACATTTTGACCACGCTACCTCACCTACAACATGGCCTTACCCTCACCAAACAAACGACGTCGCCAAGTGACCTATTACATGACCTTACCCTCACCAAACAAACGACGTCATCCCCTCACCGACAACATGACCTTACCCTCACCCAATAAACGACTTCACCAAGTGACCTATTACATGACCTTACCCTCAAAAAACCAAAGACGTCATCCCAACACTTACAGCATGACCTTACCCTCATCGAACCAACTACAATCCCCATGACCTACTAATGACCTAACCACTCATTGACCCATGACCTAACCACCCATTAACCATGACCTAACCACCCATTGACCCATGACCCATGACCTAACCACCCATTAACCCATGACCTAACCACCCATTAACCCATAACCTAACCACCCATTAACCCATGACCTAACCACCTATTGACCCATGACATAACCGACCATTGACCCATGACCTAACCGACCATTGACCCATGACCTAACCACCCATTGACCCATGACCTCACCGGCTCTAAACTGTCCTGCCAGATCCACTCGACACTGCCGTACACCCTTTGTCCACCAACCAGGACAGGTGAGCTGCCGGTCACGTTAAACCCTGGGAATAAAAAACTTTTTAGATCATTTTTTTTCCCACCGAACACACACATACATAATACAGCGTTAGAACAAATCACATCTGTAGATAAACACTCTTATTGTAATCTTCATAGGAAGCTGTAGTTTAAATTATAATTTTACCGATTTATTTTGTACCTCAACCATTGATCAATCATACACCAGTACTCACCATTGGTCAGTCAAACACATGAACCCAACATTAGTTAGTACATACAGAATTACTCACCAATGGTCAGTGTATACATCAGTACTCACCATTGGTCACCAATTACACCAGTACCCACCAATGGTCAGTTTAACATCAGTACTCACCAATGGTCAGTTAAAAACCAGTACTCACCAATGGTCAGTTAACACCAGTACTCACCAATGGTCAGTTAAACACCAGTACTCACCAATGGTCAGTTAAACACCAGTACTCACCAATGGTCAGTTAACACCAGTACTCACCAATGGTCAGTTAAACACCAGTACTCACCAATGGTCAGTTAACACCAGTACTCACCAATGGTCAGTTAAACACCAGTACTCACCAATGGTCAGTTAAACACCAGTACTCACCAATGGTCAGTTAAACACCAGTACTCACCAATGGTCAGTTAACACCAGTACTCACCAATGGTCAGTTAAACACCAGTACTCACCAATGGTCAGTTAAACACCAGTACTCACCAATGGTCAGTTAAACACCAGTACTCACCAATGGTCAGTTAAACACCAGTACTCACCATTGGTCAGTTAAACACCAGTACTCACCAATGGTCAGTTAAACACCAGTACTCACCAATGGTCAGTTAAACACCAGTACTCACCAATGGTAAGTTAAACACCAGTACTCACCATTGGTCAGTCAAACACATGTACCCAACATTAGTTAGTACATACAAAATTACTCACCAATGGTCAGTGTATACATCAGTACTCACCATTGGTCACCAATTACACCAGTACCCACCAATGGTCAGTTTAACATCAGTACTCACCAATGGTCAGTTAAAAACCAGTACTCACCAATGGTCAGTTAACACCAGTACTCACCAATGGTCAGTTAACACCAGTACTCACCAATGGTCAGTTAACACCAGTACTCACCAATGGTCACCTCATACACCAGTACTCACCAATGGTCAGTTAAACACCAGTACTCACCAATGGTCAGTTAACGCCAGTACTCACCAATGGTCAGTTAAACACCAGTACTCACCAATGGTCAGTTAAACACCAGTACTCACCAATGGTCAGTTAACACCAGTACTCACCAATGGTCAGTTAAACACCAGTACTCACCAATGGTCAGTTAACACCAGTACTCACCAATGGTCACCTCATACACCAGTACTCACCAATGGTCAGTTAACACCAGTACTCACCAATGGTCAGTTAAACACCAGTACTCACCAATGGTCAGTTAACACCAGTACTCACCAATGGTCAGTTAAACACCAGTACTCACCAATGGTCAGTTAACACCAGTACTCACCAATGGTCAGTTAACACCAGTACTCACCAATGGTCAGTTAACACCAGTACTCACCAATGGTCAGTTAAACACCAGTACTCACCAATGGTCAGTTAACACCAGTACTCACCAATGGTCAGTTAAACACCAGTACTCACCAATGGTCAGTTAAACACCAGTACTCACCAATGGTCAGTTAAACACCAGTACTCACCAATGGTAAGTTAAACACCAGTACTCACCATTGGTCAGTCAAACACATGTACCCAACATTAGTTAGTACATACAAAATTACTCACCAATGGTCAGTGTATACATCAGTACTCACCATTGGTCACCAATTACACCAGTACCCACCAATGGTCAGTTTAACATCAGTACTCACCAATGGTCAGTTAAAAACCAGTACTCACCAATGGTCAGTTAACACCAGTACTCACCAATGGTCAGTTAACACCAGTACTCACCAATGGTCAGTTAACACCAGTACTCACCAATGGTCACCTCATACACCAGTACTCACCAATGGTCAGTTAAACACCAGTACTCACCAATGGTCAGTTAACGCCAGTACTCACCAATGGTCAGTTAAACACCAGTACTCACCAATGGTCAGTTAAACACCAGTACTCACCAATGGTCAGTTAACACCAGTACTCACCAATGGTCAGTTAAACACCAGTACTCACCAATGGTCAGTTAACACCAGTACTCACCAATGGTCACCTCATACACCAGTACTCACCAATGGTCAGTTAACACCAGTACTCACCAATGGTCAGTTAAACACCAGTACTCACCAATGGTCAGTTAACACCAGTACTCACCAATGGTCAGTTAAACACCAGTACTCACCAATGGTCAGTTAAACACCAGTACTCACCAATGGTCAGTTAAACACCAGTACTCACCAATGGTCAGTTAAACACCAGTACTCACCAATGGTCAGTTAAACACCAGTACTCACCAATGGTCAGTTAAACACCAGTACTCACCAATGGTCAGTTAAACACCAGTACTCACCAATGGTCAGTTAAACACCAGTACTCACCAATGGTCAGTTAAACACCAGTACTCACCAATGGTCACCTCATACACCAGTACTCACCAATGGTCAGTTAACACCAGTACTCACCAATGGTCAGTTAAACACCAGTACTCACCAACTTGAGAGACGATTGTGTCCAGTTCCGCCTGGTCATTGACCTCGGCCAGGTAACTGAGTTTGGTCTGACAAGCCGCCTGCAGAAAGAAATCACAAGATGTGTGAAACCAACACAGCTAACAAACAACGTCTCGTACAAATGGCTTCTCAGAGAACTCTGTAAAACACGGGACAATAAAATAGAGAGATCCGGTGTTCAAGACACCTATTTCACGAAAGTTTAAGAACAATGTAGGCTACACTAACTTAGCAGCGGGGAGCAAAATGTGTACCCCTGTCTGTTAATTAGGTCTGAGTTTAATTACAAAAAATAAATGCGTGTAATCTGGGACCATCTCACCTGGGCCTTGGCGCTGTCCAGAACATCTTCACCCTTGACCAGTAGGTAGACCGAGTTGCCCACCACATACACCCAGAACTTGTCAGCTGTAAATCAGAAAGACTTGGTTAATCCAAATAATTTAAACGAATTGGGCATCTATCATCGTCAGCTATGCAGGCAGAATGCCGGGGGTGGGGGAGAGGTTGGGGATTTTTCCCCTCATGTGACTGTGTGTGTGTGTTTGTGAAAATCGCTCGTAACTATTAGACACTACGTTTTTTTAAAAATCTAACTGCTAAATTGCATTTATAAAAGACTAACTAAAGATATAATGTATCAATAAGTATAAATATAAAAAACTAATTTATAACCTTAGTTTTAAAAACATTTAGCTGCAATGACTAATATATGAATCATATTTATAAAGACTGACATTTACTCACCGCTTTATATATTGAAAATACAGAATATTTTTTTTTCAAAATTTTATTAATATTAGCTTTTATAATTAAAGCTGTTAGTCTACTCACTGACAGTCTCTGTCTCGTTTTCGTATTCCTCCACTGTGAATGACACAAGAGAACATAATTATGACCATTAGGTTTATAAAAAAGATGTCGAAACGGCCGTACGAGGAGGGGAAACCGTTGCACAAGGAACATCACCCACTCTTCATATCAACCAACACAGAAGTTAGACAACTATTGCACAAGGGACATCACCCACTTTACCTATCAACTAACACAAAAGTTAAACAACTGTTGCACAAGGGACATCACCCACTCTACCTATCAACTAACTCAAAGTAGACAACTGTTGCACAAAGGACATCACCCACTCTACCTTTCAACTAACATGGAGGTTAGACAACCGTTGCCTACCTTTTGTGGCCAGTGTTTCCAGTTTCTCTTCTTGAGCTGCCAAAGTAGCGTTAAGAGCCTCCAGTTTGGCTGTAAGAACTTCCACTACAAACAGATACAAGGATACAATGATACAATATAACCCAGAATTTAGATGCTTTTATTTGAAATCAAAAACAGATATACCTAAACAAGTCATCAACAAATTTTATTTGAAACCAGTAACAATTAATGTCTAAGATAGCCAGTAAAAACTATTTTCTTCAACCCAAAACAGTTATGTTTGATGTCGTCGCATGCGTCATTAGCCTATCTCACCGAGTGTGACCAATGGGTCGAGTTTCTCCCCCTGGTCAGTCACTGTTCTGTTGAAAGTCTCCACCTGATCTGTCAGTACCTCTACAGCTTGCGTCAGGTTTTGGACTGGTTTAAACAAAATTCATTCATTTACAAGGGGAGATAACTTTTTTTAAGTTAAAAAATAATACATGATTAGATATTGAATTATGGAAGGGAGATAATTGTGAAACGTTTTTTTAAAAAGGATTATTTACCTTGAGCTTCTGTTGCATTCACTGGTTCCACTGGGAGGACGAAATAAAAAAAAGTTATTGGTAGAAAAAGTCGGGTTAAAACCGTAACAGCAGAATAACACTTTTATTGAATGCACAACCTCGTTGTGTACACATTTCAGCGATTTGTTTACATTTTGACAAAGGTCTGTACGAGGTTGTAGTAGGTCCTCTGATTTTAAACAGTGTGTCCTCGGAATAAATATATACTTAGTATATACATATATGGCTACATGCGATTTCCTAAAATGATTGGCCACAGTAGTTTCATAAAGCGTACTAAAAGAATCTGTTTAATGCTTTTCTTGTGCCATAAAAAACAGCTGCGTTTTGTGTTTGCACCAAGCTAATTGTAAATCTAAAGTAACACAATAAAAGTGACGTAATCGTGGTAGATCTCACTAGTTGAAATACAGGCCGCACCGATTAAATTAAGCTCTTATCCGTTGATGAACGTTGATGAATTTAAGCGCATGTTCGTTAATGAGCTTAATGTCCTGAGCTCTTTTTTAAAATATATAAACACCTCTTAACATGCAATTATGTTTAATATTTTAAGGCATTTCCGCCATCTTTACATTGAACACACAATTTCAAAATAACAACAAGGTGTTCTATGTTAAGTGTGTAATTTTACAAAAGTAACCCAAGGTTTCGAACCTGCAGCTTCCACCGAGCTGACCTTCTCCTCAAGGTTCTGAAGAGTTTCGTTGATGGCGTCCAGTTTAGCGGTCAGAAGTTCCATGGCAGCTAGCACTGTGTCCAATGGCGATGCTGGAATAGAGATCACGTGGGCAGTGACGTAATATAAACATTGAGATTTAATCATGTAATGGTAAGCTGAAAGACTGATTTTGACCTTTGTCTGAAAGTGATTTAAATTGATAGCTGATATCCAAATGTATGTATATGTTGCAGGCATGCATGTAAAGTTGGTTGAAAATTCTTGAATAGTGATTTAAGTTGGTGAAATTTGAAGTCTGGATAAAAATGAAGAGACGAAAGACTTCTAGGATATTGTAGGAAAAAGAAGGGGTGGTTATTGTAAACACTGTCAGGATTCATTGGCCGGAAAGTTGTTGATTTTCGTGTAAGCTCTAATTAGACGGCTAAAAACTAATACTTTTTGTTTAAGTTGAAGAACTGACTTATTCTGAAACGTCTTTAAAAAATAAACATAGTCTTAAGCAGATTCCACGTTGTTTGTTTATGTAGCCCATAGAAGCCTGTGTACAAGTGTGTAAGTGTGACATAAACAAATTGTGGTGATGAATTCAAATACGGATAATGGGTGTGGTTGGAGAATGATTGGTATGAAGAACGCGATTGAATAATCTAAGTTGTCCATTTGTAAGCACAACTCAGTTTGATGTAGATGTACTGTAGCTGGGATTTTCTAAATCAAATATTGGCTTTGTTGGATAAAAGAAAAACAAAAGATTACGTGTTGGTGCTGCAGTTGTTGTTGGTTCTGTAGGTAACTCTGGTGTTGTTGCTTCAGTGGTTGTCTCCTCCGTGGTGGTTGTCTCCTCCGTGGTCTCAGGCGCTGCGGTAGTCGTAGGCGCAGCTGTGGTGGTGGTGGCTGTGGTTGCTGGCGTGACTGCCAGTTGGGCCAGGAGCATCTGCTCACGCTGGTCAGCTGGATCACGGTTTATATTTATAGATATATATATATATGTGCATATGTCTGTTTGTATGTTTTTATGTATGTGTATGAGTACGTTTATATGTACTTGTATTTGTACGTGTATGCGTATATATATATATATATATATATATATATATATATATATATATATATATATATATATATATATATATATATATATATATATATATATATATATAAGTAAATTGAAATATATATTATAAAAAATTCTTAAGTATGAAAGCTCCAGAGAATAGCCCTGACCCTACCTAAAGCAGAGATGTTGAGTATTTGATCCTGCAGCTCAGCTAAAGTCATGTTAAAACCTTCAAGTCTGTACTCCATAGTTCTAATGGCAATCAGCAGACGGTCAACTCCAGGTGCTGTAGTACCAAACACAAACAACATATGTCAATAACATTTCTGTGGGTGTCCACACTGGTCAACAGTGGTCACTGACCGTGAAATAAAGGTGTGCTTGTGTGTATTAGTTAGTGTGAGTATGTATGTTTTAAGGCCTGTTTTGAAACAAAATTTTAGTGTTTACTTTTATATGGTATAGTATATGTTTAGTGTTGCGTCTCTTGCAAACGAAGGACCCTCTCAATACATCCCCCGACAAAAGATTTTCCATCAGCCCCACATAAACTGAGATATTTCGTCTTGAGCTTTTTGTCACGGGTCTTAGATGGTGTACTCTAGATAAAGAGCAACTAACCTGAGCTGCTGATTCTAGCCTGGGCGGTCAGGGGCAAGAGTTCTCCATACTCCCCAACAACCTTCGCATCACAGGTGTAGACACCAAAGTCGTCGACACTAGGAGTGGGCCAGACGATGGTCAGGTAACTGCCCATCTCTGACTGAAATAGGCGAGTCAAAGGTCAGCCGGATGTTGTTAGTTACTTATGTTTTCGTGTTCATTCTTGAACATATTAACAATCAAAGTCACAACAAGGAAAGTGAGGACTCACCTCTAGGGTCGTAATCTCTCCCAGGACGGTCACCTGGGGATAGGCTAGAGATCTGCGCGCCCCCCGGGGAGTCATGGCATCCACGGTGGCCAGCATCTCCTTCTTGGGGGAGAGGGTGCCGTCTTTACGTATGGTCTGTCTGTAGGTGCGACACATTTAATATAGTAGGCCTATATAAATATTGTTTAAAATGGCTCACTTTTCTCGTAGTGGTGGACAAACAAAATGGCACCGTCCTGACCACGCCTTGAGCGCCCTGACCAACCTACCCGCGCCCTGACCTACCTACCCGCGCCCTGACCAACCTACCCGCGCCCTGACCAACCTACCCGCGCCCTGACCAACCTACCCGCGTCCTGACCAACCAACCCGCGTCCTGACCAACCTACCCGCGTCCTGACCAACCTACCCGCGTCCTGACCAACCTACCCACGCCCTGACCAACCTACCCGCGTCCTGACCAACCTACCCGCGTCCTGACCAATCTACCCACGCCCTCTCCTACTAGCAAGTTACAAAACGGGTGTGCCGCCCCCACTGCCCTCCTACACTAGCGTGAGTTTTACTGCTGTGGTTCCAGTACTCACCTAGACAGGGTGATGGACACAATCTTGACCTCCTCGCTCTCTATCAGGGCACAGTTGACAGTGAAAGATGGCGTCAGTCCCAGCTCGAGTACACTCGGGGTGACCGTCATGGCTAGTTCAGCCGCTGTAACGAGAAATAATTATATTAATTAAAATTAATTAACAGCATGGGCACAGACTTTACGATATAAGCACTTTTCAAAACTCTTTCGTATTTTTTAATGAAATCACATAATGTTGTTATTAATCGTTTTATAATATACAAGCCGACCCCCGACGTAGCATACGTCGCCATCTAGTTGTTTTATTTTCTGCTTATCAGCAATTCATAATTTTTTTGTAAATTCAACACTACCCCCTCCCGCCCCCTTTACCCCCCCCCCCCTACCACCCCCCGCCCAGTGAAAGCAGCCGTTTACAGACAATGAAAAGATCAATCAGAAATTGTTACCTCCCCTTCATTTCAAATCGTTTAATACTAAATTATCTGCCCCTAATAGCCGACACTAACCCGGCTCTACGATTGTAAACATTCGTCGTGAACCAAAGCTCACCAGATTGTTGGGGGTGGGGGTGGTATCGATTTGCCTGCAGAGCGGGGGAGTAACGGAGTGCGTCTACGTCTTGTCCTGTATTATCCCCATGAAGAGAATTATATATATATAGATGCATAAATTGTATTCCTTTTACTTTACTCAAAAGATGACTCGAACAGTGCTCACATTGCTTTTATTAGCTTATGTATGGTAGTTCTTTGATTTGAATTATAATCTATGCGAATTTCTGAATAAATATTTCTTTGTTGAATTAGCAGTATTTAATTAACTAATTTGTTACGTATAAAACAGAAATTGAAAAAAAAAACTTACCGGTGAAGGCCACCATGGATAGAATCACAATCACAATCTTCATGCTTGGGGCTGAAGAAAACACAAATTGAAATCTTTTATTGGAACTAAAGAATTCGATGCTTGTGTTCAACATGCTGTCAGAATATTTTAACTTCTGTCATAGCGAACATTTTATAGACCGGCGTATAACATTTTAATTTTGTTTTTAAATCCGATAAATTTAACATCCCAAGTTAAAAGAAAAAAAACTTACACGAAAGTATGAGAATTTTCTAGAAAGTCTCATTAAAATGAAATGTACCAGCATTAAGGCAAACAAAGTCGACGGTTTACTGAACAACAGGGAATGACAAAAAAAAAAATTCCTTGTTTGTAAAAGTAAAGTTTCCTTTTCAAATCTGACGGGTCCATGGGTAAAGTCACCTGTTTCTGTGACCTCGGTATATAAAGGGATGGTGTAGTCATCACTATGCCCAGATGCCATTACTTTCATTGAGTCAGGTACGCATCAGAGCTTCTACACCGCACATATTTTTGATTGTGTTTGTACACCGTACATATGTTTGATTGTGTTTGTATATCATACATATTTTTATTGTGTTTGCACACCGTACATATGTTTGATTGTGTTTGCACACCGTACATATGTTTGATTGTGTTTGTATACCGCACATATTTTTGATTGTGTTTGCACACCGAGCATATTTTTTATTCTGTTTGTACAACGCGCATATTTTTGATGAACTATTATGGAAAGTTTAGCTCAAAATTATAATTTTTAAAATTATTCTCTATTCATCAACTCTACTTCACCTACTCTATTGATCATATTGCCCTCGAACGATTACTTCACGTGTTTATTATACGCTTTTTGCGTAGCGGATGTTAAACACTGTTACAGCATAATAACAAAAGTTACTCACTGATTTTGAAGATAGCTTTTGAAAATACATTTTAAGTGTCTGAGGATTTACGTTTTATTCCTAATATAAAACGTGATTCGAGTTAATGTAATATCACTGCATTATAATAAAATACTAACTCAAATAATACTTATATGTAAAAAATGTTACATAGATATTGATAATAAAAGATTCCTTATTATTATAATCCACAAATTAAAAAAATGCCTGAATTAAAAATACAACACTCGAACATTTATTATAAAATAATTTGTCCATGTAAGAGAATTTTTAGACAAACAGAACGGCTTTGTATTTTGATAATGGTAACACATCGGCACTGTACTTGTACTCTCCACGGTGTATTAAACAAGGGTCGCTTGTTTAATAAAAGGAAATAGAATAAAAAATATTTATAAGAGCGTAAATTAAAATAATTCTTACAAGGTTCAGACAACAGTCACAAATGAGAAACGGCGAAAGTTGTGACGTTGGTGGAGATGGTCACGTTTTATAGTCACCAACAGACGGCAGCTGTGGTTTGTTAGATCGTACTCACTGGTGAGTAATTAATGGCTGTTGGAGTTAGTTGCCCTTGTTTGGGGGCATTCTCGGCTATACATGATTCTCGGTTATACATGGCCCTTGACTGGGGGCATTCTCGGCTATACACGGCCCTCGACTGGGGCATTCTTGTATATACACATGGCCCTTGACTGGGCACATTGTCACCTGTACATGGCATCTGGGGCCACTGTACATATTACTATATATAGTAAATTTTCTCAAATGTTTACACCATAATATTTACACTGTTAATTTACGCATGTGTACTCACCCGTTTAAGCCACATAAACTAGAGGTAGTAATTTCATTTAGTCCGTCCTTTTCTGGAAACGCGGCCATTCGCTCTTTCATCTAGCCTGTAAAGCTATTTTAAAAATTAAACCATTATGTGAAACGTATAAAAATAGCAAGTACTTCCACATAAAATTCATAACCTTATCTAAAGGAACAGAGGCGTAGCGACAAACTTTCAATTTGGCGCCCCCCCCCACCTCGGGAGCAAATTTTCGATTTGCAACCCCCCCCCCCCTCCCTTCAAACTGCAAAAATGCAGCTAAATTGACATTTTAATTTGTTTTTACAACCCATTTTGGCGCCCCCTAAGGTCGGCGCCCGGGGACATGTGCCCCCCCTGCCCCCCCCCCCCCCATCGCTACGCCTCTGTAAATGAAATAGTTCTAACCCCTGCAACGTACATTGAGAACCGCTGTCAGAATACATACACATATAGGGCTTACCCTCTCTGTAATTAGCCGTATAGAAAGTTGCTTGGTCAGCTTTTCCTGAGCTTTACTCACCTATCGTGTCACTGTCCTTTGTATGACGGTCCTCAATACTTTCATGCGTAATAGGTGACACATATGAACATACATAAAACCACTTACACAAATACGTTTACTTTGACTCATACACACATACACAGTGACATTAACCCATAAACACAGACCTATAAATACAGGCCTATAAAGATAGGCACATAATCAGAGACCCATAATCACAGACCCATATACGCAGACCCATAATCACAGACCCATAAACAGAGACCCATACACACAGGATAATAAACATAGGCCTATAAAGATATATCCATAAACATAATCCCATAAAGACAGATTGTAAACACAGATCTATAAACACAGACCGATAAATACAGACCTATACCTAGACAAATAAACACAGACCTATAGATAGACCTATAAACACAGACTCATCACAAAACAAACATCGATCGTGTATTTGGTTTAGAAGACAATTTAAAAGGGAGAACTCTCCTGGTAAAAAGTTTGGGTTGTTTCCCTTCTACTGTGATTTGTTTAAAAATCAGTTAAATGGGTGACTCAGTTTTGTGCACTGTGCGCATCAAGATTCGGACCATCAATCTACCACACTTGGCGCGGTGACTGAATATCAGAAGCACGTGTCGCACCATCCATCTTGGTCTATTTTTAGAATATGATTTAACTCCCCTAATTGTTTTCACATTAGAATATTTCTGTGTTTTTAAGGTTTGTGATAATGCCAATTGCGAAAATTGTATGTAAAAATCTATGTATAGAAAGCCTTTATTTATGGTCAGTAAATCTCAAGTTATGCTAGTCCCATCTATTTTTATTTAAATAAAAAAAAAACCAACTAAATGCATCTCATATACATTGTTATCAACATATATCGGACTTGTTTTTTGTCTGACACTGATACATATTCAAGTTCATTTGGTGACAAACGTTAGTCGTGAAAAACTACATTTTTTGTTTGGGGATTCTGAATTTTTTTTTCAAGTAAAAATCAAGCAATTTTTTTTTTCAACTTTTTTGTCTTAAACATAACTATTATTTAAAAAAACAATAACAAATTGCATGCAACCTAAACAATTTTAATAATGTGTGCAATTAAAAAAAAAATTAATAAAAAATAAACTATGAAATCCTGACTAAAGAAGCACATCTGTTTATATATTAATTACAAAATGTACATTTGTACCTGCCCGTTTAACATATATGTTCTATTATTGCAATGATTAGTCTGTACGATAGCGACTATAGAGTCAAACACATGCATGTCTATGTCCAGCCAGTGTTATAGGTGTACTGATAATGTGAAAATAATGTCAAGTAAAACACAAAACACATGGACTTATTTTTGTATTAACTCATAGCTTAAAAAAAACAATGACAAATTGTATACAACCTAAACAATTTAAATGATGTGCGCAATTAAAAAATTTTTTAAAAATATTCAGAAAGACCCAATTAAAACATTTTTTTAAATTATTAAGCTGAGATTAACAAACATGTTTTGAATGCAATTAAGATTGGTGTTTTTAAAGGCTGGAGATGAGGCTTCCTTAAGTAGATTCTCAGGTGGTCATCAAAGATTGGACCCTGATCGTCGCAATTCAAAGTTTGGCGAGGGGTCATCAGGATGTGACCCACTCATGGCATAAACCCCTCCATCTTTGACCCTTACTTGCCGGGACTGTCTTTGCGTCTTTGTTGGCTGTTTGGTTTGGTTTTAGGTGTCCTGAATCTTGCGGCCGTTTGAAAAACCTGGTACTTAGGATTGCTTCACGGCGTCCCAACATCCGAGAACTAGACACTACTTCTGTTTTTGTTTTAACGCCATGCGACTAAGTGCTGTAGAGTAAAACAGAACACAAAATGTATGAAACTTCTCGAAATTACGCTCACTGACACGGCTTTGGTAACCGGTTGGTTGTTGTATTATAAACGGTGCTCGTCTTTTTCAGAGAGACTTTTCGTCCAGTCAATAGAATGTGGGAGACGGATGTTCTGGTCTGAACGCTTGTTTTGGTCACGTCCTTTAGCCTCTTATCTCTCTGGCGATGGTGGATCTGATGCTTCACTATACCCGTGGTAGGCATGCATGGCCACAACAGTGGGGGTTCTGGAGTCTCTGGGAACTGATTTTCTGACAGTCCGACACGACACAGATGGTTGCTGGCGGGGTGTCCGACACGACACAGATGGTTGCTGGCGGGGTGTCCGACACGACACAGATGGCTGCTGGCGGGGTGTCCGACACGACACAGATGGCTGCTGGCGGGGTGTCCGACACGACACAGATGGCTGCTGGCGGGGTGTCCGACACGACACAGATGGCTGCTGGCGGGGTGTCCGACACGACACAGATGGCTGCTGGCGGGGTGTCCGACACGACACAGATGGCTGCTGGCGGGGTGTCCGACACGACACAAATGGTTGATGGCGGGGTGTCCGACACGACACAAATGGTTGATGGCGGGGTGTCCGACACGACACAAATGGTTGATGGCGGGGTGTCCGACACGACACAAATGGTTGCTGGCAGGGTTCCGACACGACACAAATGGTTGCTGGCGGGGTTCCGACACGACACAAATGGTTGCTGGCGGGGTGTCCGACACGACACAAATGGTTGCTGGCGGGGTGTCCGACACGACACAAATGGTTGCTGGCGGGGTTCCGACACGACACAAATGGTTGCTGGCGGGGTGTCCGACACGACACATTACTGGTGGCTGCAGTAGGATCGGGTGCTGAGGCTCACCTTTGGATGTGAAAAGTCCTTGTATCGAGGCTGGACGTAACGGATGAGTTCACCCGATATTGACCCCACGTTCACTCTGTAGCTGAGCTCTCCTTTTTTTCCCCTTTGGAGCTACTGGACCAGTCAGAGGTAAACAAAAAAGTGTTGGAGGCGGGTTTTACATGGAATATTTGACAAAAGAAAACAAGAAACTGTGGGAGCAAGGCTATAGACAACGATTCCGGCAGTTCTTTGATCCAGCCCATGATATTTTTAGAACCACTGCACTGTGTTAGCATACAGGCGGGTTGTGTTTCACTAGCAAGGAATGTGCACTTTTACTCTAAGAATAAACAGTCGTGATTTGAGACTTTTGTTTTGCTTTTGTTTTGGGCTAGAGTTAAGTTTTAATTTGATCAGTTATGGAAAGGGGCGGAAACGGTGTTATATAGTGGGTGGGTCTGATTTTTTAGCTGTCTGTAAAAAGCTGGAATAATTTTGACTGGCGCTTAAATCTTGGTATTTGTTTCACCCTTTTTACTTTCTCGTATATACGAAGTATAGAGAAAGTATTGTAATCGTGCACAAAAATCACATGAAATTTTGAGTTTTCACTGCTTTACACCTCAGTCCTTCATCACATCCGGAGTATAGAGAACTTTTTTTAATCGGGCAAAAATTATAAATCCAGATATATCAAAATTTTGGCGTTTTATGCGTAATCGAGTCTGAAAAACTGGGCTTTGTAATTCTGTCTGTATGTCTGTGTGTATGTGTGTGTGTGTGTGTGTGTGTGTGTGTGTGTGTGTGTGTGTGTGTGTGTGTGTGTGTGTGTGTGTGTGTGTGTAAACATGATAACTTGAGTACCGTACAGCTAGGTTGATAAAATTTCACATATAAGTATTTTTTCAAAATCGTAGATCTGTATCAACTTTTGAGCGATTTCCGATAACCGGAAGTGGAACTTTTTCTACTTTGAATTTTTCAAAAGCCTATAACTTGAGTACTATTTCAGATAGATAAATGAAATGTCACATGTGAGTAAAAGATCTAATTCTCTACCTTCTACCAAAATTTGAGTAATTTCCGTTGACCGGAAGTACTAATAATATTGCGCACTATTATGCATATTTTGTTTTGGCGTTCGCTTGGTGCGCAATTCTTTTTTCTACGAGATTCTATTCTATTTTTAAAAGTTTAAGTAATTAAAAATCATGTCTATATTCCGAGTTGCCATCTCACGTAGTGTTATATAAGAATATTCGAGAAAGTTTAGGGTAGATCACTCCCGGTTTATTTATAACGTCGAGGGAAGTTGTCATGAGCTTTACTTAGAGATCCGCCTTGTGATAATGGTGGCCAGTGATATACTCATAGAGAATACAGCACCGAAGTGGCTTTAAAAAAATAGATTCATTGCCCCTTAGAATATGGTATAAAGCATATATTCAAGATT